AGATCAAGCCAGAGATATCCCTAGAAGCCAAGATGACAACACTTAGACACATCATGAGAAAGCATGAATCATGGGAAAAGACAATAATGTTAGGAAAGGTGGAGGGAAGTAGAAAGAGAGGAAGGCCACATGATAGATGGATGAACTTTATTAAAGAGACCACAAATAAGAATTTGCAGGAGCTCGGCAGAGCAGTAGAGCACGGGTGGGGTGTGTGTGTGCTGGAGATGTCTCATCCATAGGGTCTCCATGGGTCAACTGACGCGAAGGCAGTTAACAACAACAACAAAGTATAACTTGTCATAGGTCACCCAGTGGGTTTCCATGACTGAGTGGATATTTGAGCCTGGGTCTTCCAGAGTTCCAGTCCAACATTCAAACCACTACACCACACTGACTCCATTTGTCTCATGACAGCATTACTGAATTTGTGGCATGGAAGACCAACAAAGGCTCATTTGTCTCTATCTTTGTTTTGAAGTCAGATTCTTCATACCTCTAAACACCACCAGATAGAATCTTAGAATCATAGAGCTGGAAGGGATTCTAATCCATCTTCCTGTCATGCAGGAATACACAAGTAAAGCACTCCAGAGAGATGGCTGTCCAGCCTCTATTTAAAACTCTCCAAAGACAAAGGTTGGGTCTCCTTTATATGAAATCCTTGAGATCAGAAGTGTTTTTGGATTTTGGTTTCTTTTTGATTTTGGAATATTGAATATTTCCTGAATTTGGCATATACATAATGAGACATCTTGGAGATGGGATCCAAGTCTAAACTTGAAATTCATTTATGTTTTATATACACCTTATACACATAGCTTGAAGGTAAATTTTATACATAATATTTTTAAAATAATGTTGTGCATGAAACAAAGTTTGTGTACATTGAACCATCAGAAAGCTAAGGTGTTTTTATCTTAGCCACCAATGTAAACAATGTTGGATTTTGGAGTATTTTGGATTCTGGAATTCTGGATAAGTGAGATTCAATGTGTGCTACTTTCTGACCCAGTCTATTCCATTCCCAAACAGCTTTTACAATACAAAGCTTTTCTTAATGTTAAGTTGTAATCCCTTTTCTTATGATGATGATCAGGTCATTCTGAATGCAAGGTAAAAGATGGCAAATATGTTGGTAAAACAAATCCATCATCGACTAACATCAAAGATGTTCTTGAGGGAAGAAAAAGAGGAGGATTAGGTAGATCTAATAAACACTTTTCTCCCTTAAAAGCTAACCTTATTAGACATATGGTAAAATTGCTTCCCCAATCTGTTTTTAAATTTGTCTCCAAAAGTACACAGTTGCTAGCCTTAGGATGCAAATAAATATTTGCATAGCCTGTTTCTTTCTTCCATGGGCAGAAGATAGACTGGGATCTATTACTAGAGCTCTGAGTGATTTGCAAGTGTTTCTTGTTCACAGTCCTTTAACAATAGCATCAACAACATGGTCCTTTCTACCTAAAGTAGGCTATTCAAATGAGGCCCACTTAGGATTTACCAATTCTGAAACTAGGCTAAGAATGTGCTCAAAGGGAGCCCGTTTTTTAGCTCCTGGTGTATATGCTATACAACTTATGACATTCTAGTGGAAAAAATAATGGAGCAAATAATGATAAGCCTGAGGTCTGCCCATCCATCTTTTTCAGTTCCCCACTTTCCTTTTCATCAATACTCAGGAAAGTATAGTTTGAAATATGCATTTTGACCTTCATAGAGGCCATGAGGCTCAAGGGAAGGGGGGGGGAAGTTGTGTCTTTAGGATTTGTGGCTGGGGCAATATTTCACTTTCATAATAAGGGTTTTTTTTGTCATTATTTGGATTTCTTTCCTTTTCAGTATTTCTTTTATGTTAGGCTTGAGTGTGAATTATTAATGGATTGTTTAATCTCACTGTATATTTATTACTATGAGATGTTTAGGCTATTTCTATGACTATTTGTAATTGTTATGGAATTATCTAGAAATGTTGCTGTATTTGATTATGTAAAAAATTCTTCTGATGTTGCTCTAAGCTGTTTGGGGCTTGGTTTTCCAATGGAAAAGCTAAAGGCAAACAAAATAATGGAGGGT